TATTAAAGGTGCTGGTAACTACAGGTTGTATATAACTCAAAGTCAAGTCATTCTATAGCTGTTTTGACTCCTAGATTCCTAACTTGCACACACCGTCATTTCATGCTTGTGCTTGACTTGGATGATACTTCAATTTAGTCAAACTAACTTCTTATCTATTTTCTCATTTTGTAGAGGAGTCATTTTATGTCAGAATTCTAGTTGAAATCATCTTGGTGGAAGAGAGACATGAAGCAAATTATGTATTTGAAACTGGGTATAAATATACTTTCTGTAGCCTGGCCAAATGTTTGTCATGATATTGTATCTCTGCACCTGCTAGATACTAGTAGATGTTCAATAAGTTTGCTTACTAGTTTAGGCAGGTGTAATGAAAAGCAGGACTGTCCTGTAGGTATTAGAGAGACAACCACTGGCCAAAAAACATTTGTTGATTCAGCAAATATGTACTTAGCACATATATGTCAGGCCCTGGGCTATGTGCTGAAATCTACTCTTGGCACTGGAAGCTCAGAGTCTAATTTAGTAACACCCAGATTAGGAAGTAATTATGCTCCAGAGTGGTGGAAGCTATATTAAAATGTTAGAGAACACACAGCCAGCAAATGATGTGTGGTGATTTGCAAAGAGATTGGCAGAAGAGAGCAAAATAAGAAAGAATTGTTGACTTTTTTTTTACTATAAAAAATTGTGTAATACAGTATACTTAAAGGTGTGCAAAACGTAACATATGAAGGTATATTACAAATTGAAAGTTAAATGCAGAGCAGTGAACAATCTGTGGTGAAAGATCAGCTTTTTCCCCCCTAACCCAGCAATTTATTTAACTTTTTAAAATCGTTTATTGTCAAGTTGGTTTACATATAACACCCAGTAATAATCCCAACAAGTGCCCTCCCCCATGCCCATCAGCCCTTAGTTTGTTATTAGCATTCAAGAGTCTCTCATGGTTTGCCTCCCTCCCTCTCCCCAATTATTTTTCCCCTTCTTCTCCCTCATGGTCCTCTGTTAGCTTCCTCCTAATCCACCTATATATGCAAACATATGGTATCTGTCTTTCTCTGCCTGACTTATTTTGCTCAGCATAACACCCTATAGTTCCATCCATGTTGCTACACATGGCCAGATTTCATTCTTTCTCATTGCCATGTAGTATTTCATGGTATAGATAAACCATATCTTCTTGATCCGTTTGTCCATTGATGGACACTGAGGCTCTTTCCATGTTTTGGCTATTGTTGAGAGTGCTGCTATGAACACTGGAATACATGTGTCCCTATGCATCAGTACTCCTGTATCCCTTGGGTAAATTCCTAGCAGTGCTACTGCTGGGTCATAGGGGAGTTCTGTTAATTTTTTGAGGAACCTCCATACTGTTTTCCAGAGGGGCTGCACCAGTTTACATTCCCACCAACAGTGTAGGAGGGTGCCTGTTTCTCCACATCCTCGCCAGCATCTAGAGTCTCATGATTTTTTTCATTTTCACCACTCTGACCAGTGTGAGGTGGTATATCTCAATGTGGTTTTGATTTGTATTGCCCTGATGATGAGGGACGCTGAGCATCGTTTCATGTGTCTGTTGGCCATCTGGATATCCTCTTTGGAGAATGGTCTCTTCATGTCTTCTGCCCATTTCTTCACTGGGTTGTTTGGTTTTTGGGTGTGGAGTTTGGTGAGTTCCTTATAGATTTTGGATACTACCCCTTTATCTTATACGTCAGTTGCAACTATTTTTACCTATCCTGTCAGTTGCCTGTTAGTTTTATTGATTGTTTCCTTTGCTGTGCAGAAGCTTTTTATCTTGATGAGGTCCCAATAGTTCATTTTTGTTCATGATTCCCTTGCCATTGGGGATGTGTCAAGGAAGAAATTGCTGTGGTTGAGGTCAAGGAGGTTGTTTCCTGCTTTCTCCTCTCGGGTTTTGATGGTTTCCTGTCTCACATTCAGGTCCTTGATCCATTTTGAGTTTATTTTTGTGTATGGTGTGAGAAAGTGATCTAGTTTGATTCTTCTGCATGTTGCTGTCCAGTTTTCCCAGCACCATCTGTTAAACAGGCTGTCTTTTTTCCATTGGCTACTCTTTCCCACTTTGTCAAAGATTAATTGGCCATACATTTGTGGGTCCATTTCTGAGTTCTCTATTCTATTCCATTGGTCTATGTGTCTGTTTTTGTGCCAGTACCATACTGTCTTGATTATGACAGCTTTGTAGTAGAGGCTACAGTCTGGAACAGTGATGTCTCCCATTTTGATTTTCTTCAATATTACTTTGGCTATTTGGGGTCTTTTGTCCTAACCCAGCAGTCTAAAAAAGCAATTTAAATAAAATAAAAAAGGGAAAGAAAAAAAGTTTTAAATGTATACTTTTAGAAAACCAGTAAAAAAAACCTCCACAAAATTATTGCTATGTCAATTTATAAGTTTGATTGATAGGAAGGAACTTAGCATTTTTCTGTTTCGTTTTATTTTTATTGAGGTATAATTGACATATGAGATATTAGTTTCAGGTGTGCACCATATTCAATATGTGTATATATTGTGAAGTAATAGCCACATAGGTCTGGTTAACATATGTCACCACACATAGTCCCAATTTGTGTTTGTGTGTGTAGTGAGAACTTTTAAGATCTACTCTTAGCAACTTTTAGATAGGTAACAGAATATCAATTATAGGCATCATGTTGTACATTACATCCCAAGACTAGATAAGCTAGAAGTTTGTACCTCTTGACCCCCTTCAAAAGACCTAAAATTACTTGGTTCAATGAAGTTTCTGAATGTTTAGTCTCAGTGTCTGTACTTAACTCATGTGGATTCATGCATTAATGGTGGCAATTAGAGTTCAATTACTAAAACAAAAACAAAAACAAGACAAACCTAGGACCAAAAATGGCAATGCTTGCAAATAAACAGTGGAAAGGACATAGCCTCAAAGTAAGGCTGTGGATCAAGGCCAAAGGCTATCTCCCAGCAAGGTTCTCAGAGAGGCCGGATGCAGGCTCTAATTGTCTTACAATACAGGGCCTTACTGGAGACACTTTCTCTTTTAGACCATAAGTGTGTGCATGGGATATTTTGGATGAGGGAGTCCAAAATAGAGTTGCAACTGATGCTTCTAAAACCTACTAGTCATGTAGGCACATTCATATGCGTGTATGCATGTAACCATCTCAAATGGGTAGCTCTCTGTTAAAGAGGAAGTTGAATGTCTTTTCATTAATTTATTGACCAGTGGGGTAGAAGCGTCATCCTCTCAAGTGTACTGTCTATTTTTCTATTGATTTTTATTTTTCTTATTGATTTATGTCAGTTATTTTTATATTCTGTAGATAACTCATCATACATGTGTTGCAAATATACTCTCCCATTGTGTGGATACTTTTTCACTCATTTAAAAGTACTTTTTGGTCAATAGAAATTCTTAATATTTTTACAAAATAATTGAAGTATAGTTGACATAAAACATTTAGGTTCAGGTGTACCACCTAGTGATTTAACAATTATATATATTATGAAAAGTTTACTGCAGTAAGTGTATTACAATATTATTGACTATATTTCCTATGCCGAATTTTTCTTAATATACTACCTTGTGTCAGTACTTTTCTTTTGTAGTTAATAGATGATATGCCCTATTCAAGACCTTGTTTGCCACTCTGGGATTATGAAAATATTCTTTTATATAATTTTATAGAAGCCACATTATTTTGCATTTCTCATACAGATATGTTTTGTATGATGTGAGGTTGGAGTCAAGTTTTATTTTTTCAATGAGAGGGGCACCTGGGTGGTTCAGTCGGTTAAGCGTCCGACTTCAGCTCAGGTCATGATCTCGCGTTCGTGGGTTTGAGCCCTGCATCGTGCTCTGTGCTGACAGCCAGCTCAGAGCCTGGAGCCTGTTTCAGATTCTGTGTCTCCCTCTCTCTCTGAACCTCCCCTGCTCATGGTCTCTCTCTCTCTCTCTCAGAAATAAATAAAAACATTAAAAAATTTATTTTTTCAATGGAATACATATTTAATTGATCCAGAACTGTTTATTGAAAGAGATACTCTTTATCATTGGTCTGTAGAAGCACTTTTGTTGTTAATAGATTATTTAAGTGTGGGTCTCTTTTTAGGCTTTATATAATATCCATTAATTTTCTCTGTTTGTTCTGTCACACTGTCTCAACTACCGTAGTTTAATGTTAACTCTTGCTAACTGGGAAAGACTTTCTGCCCTTGCTCTTCTGTAGTGTTTGGGCTGTTCTTAACACTTTATATTGCTATATAAATTTCAGAATTTGCTTAACAAGTTTTACATAAAAACCTTTTCAAAATTATGATCATAGAACATATCTCCATTCAGGTTTTCATTTGTTTTACTTAATATTATTTTGTACGTATGGAGACTTGAACACATTTAATATATTCCTATATGTGTTTGCTGTTCTTAAATTTTACTTAGACACACAAACAATAATTTTAATTTTGATCTTGTATCCATAAACCTTGTTAAACTCAATATTAATTTATCTGTATATCTTTTGGATTTCTATATCCACAGTCATCAACTAAAATGATGATGGATTTATTTAGCTTGTATATTGAATTTTAGATCTCTCCCTGTAAGTAGACCCAGAGGTAAGGATACAATGCTAGTGGTTTATTTGAGAATTGATGCCAGGAAACAATGGTATGGCAGTAAAAAAGTGAAAGAAGACATCGGTTAAAGAATTTCATATCCAGTAAGTCAGCTTGAAGGCTTAATGGCCCTGGGGAATGTACTAATCATTTAGAAAAGTTGCCTTAGAGTTTTATCACATCCAAGGGGTAAGGGGTAAGCAAAGTGAAGTTTTTGTTTTTGTTTTTGTTTTTTAAGTCCTGTGCATCTGTAGTTGAGAGATCCTCCCAAGGATGAGTTAGTTCACAGGGGCAAATCACTTCTACCCTACCATGAAAACAGGGGAAGTAATTCCAACAATGTAAGAAAGCCCTCAGCAGAGGAATGATGAAGGTACCTGGTAGTTGGCTGGTGTGTATCAAAGTGGTACAAGTGACGAGACGTAGACGTAGACCAGTAGCACTTATTATGTTTTCCCAATCCTTGTAGAATTTATTTCTTTTTCTTCCTGTACAGGCTAGAACTTCTATTCAATATGGCCTGGAAGAGGTGAATAGTAGTCATCCTTGCATGGTTCCGATCTCACAGAGAAGGCTTTCAATATTTTATCATTGACTATGATGTTTGCTGTTGATTTATTACAAATACCCTTTATCAAACTAAGGAAGTCCTTTTATATCCATTAATTTGTTTTTAAAATCACAAATGGATGTTTAATTAAATCAAACATTTTTCTGCATCTAATGATAAGATGGTATGGATTTTTCTCATTTATTTTGTTAATGTGGTGACTTACACTAATTAATTTTTAAATGCTTAACTAATCTCACATTCCTGGAATAAACTCATCTTGTTTGTTTTGATTATTATATATTACAGAGTTTATTTTGCCAATATTTAGTAGGAGTTACGCATTTATATTCCTGTGTAAGATTGGCTGGTATTCTTTTTCATGATTTACTTATCAAATTATGAAGGTTATGCCTATTTTCTTAAATAATGGTAAAACATCCTTTTTCTCCTCTCTTGAAAATATTATATATTATTGACATTTTTCATTCCTTAAATGTTAGGGAGAATTTATTGATAAAGGTAAATTGCTCGTAAAGAAGGATCTAAACTAGGATGTACAAGTTCACCCTATTTCTTACAGTGAAGCAACCAAAACCCTATCTATACTAAACCAAAAGACATCAGCTATTTCTCAATAAAAAGTCACCATTCATATAGTACATGTCAAGATGGCAATCTTGTTTTGAGTTGTTAATCTCCTATCCCTTATGTTTGTAGCCTATGCATGCTCCAAGACCTAGAGAATATCGTATCATGAAAAAACAATTCTTTAAAACTCTAGTCCACCCCTTTGAACTTCTATGCTATTGATGGACAGTTTACCCAATGACCTTTCTCTGCCATTTGTGTGTGTGTGTGTGTGTGTGTGTGTGCGCGCGTGCGCGCCCACACACGTGTGTCTGTATGTATGTGAATGCCCTCCTGAACTACACCATAAATTCTGTAAGAGCAAAAACCATGAATTATGAATATGTATAAATACTCAAGTAGGCATTTTATGCATATAAAGTGGCAGTGGTATGTTTGCCTACCACCACTACAAATTACTACAAATTAGTTTTGGCAGCATAATTTGGTCAGGGGTGAGGCTTTACCTTAATGACTGTAGTACAAAGGATGCAAGAACTCTCTTCCCTTCTGTGGGGAGAGGGTGGGTCTTAAAAATGCCCATACTGAAGAATGGGAGGTGTTCACAGCACATGTATCGCCCCAGGGTAAGGCAGAATCATGCAGTGCAGCTCAGAATATTTCAAGTGTTACAAACAACATGCTAGTCTATGGCAACCAGGTATTATCACCACATGCTAATGGAAGAGATTACTCATACTGACCTGGCTTCCATGAATCTCCCTAGCTCTGGTGGCTCTTGGTCCAGCATATATCAGTTTGTTATGGACTAAATGTTTGTGTCCCATCAAAATTCATATGTTGAAGTCTTAAGCCCTAGTGTGATAGTATTTGGTGGGAGTGGGTTCTTAGGGAATTAATTAGGTTTAGATGAAGCCATGAGGGTTCATCTTATGAATTCCCATGAGAGATTTAGTTCCGTTATAAAAATAGGCACCAGAAAGTGCTCTCTGTACCTCTCTACCACATGAGGACACAGAAGGAAGATGGTCATCTACATCTAGGAAAAAAGTCCTCACCACAAACTGAATTGACTGGCACCTTGATCTTGGAATTCCTAGTCTTCAGAACCCTGAGAAACCTATGTCTGTTGTTTAATGCATCCAGTCTGTGGTATGTTGTCATAGCAACACAACTGACCAACAGATTGCTCAGTACCAATCCTCTGCTATCTACATAATCATGCTCCTCTGTCATCATTTCAGTGTTTGTATCACTTTTATCTAGCAAATAAACATCTGAAGCTTTTACTCTCACATGAAAACCAGTAGCTTTTTATTTTAATGTTTATTTTTGAGAGAAAGAGAGGAATGGGCAGAGAGAGAGAGAGAGAGAGATAGAGATAGGGTACAGAAGGTCCAAATCAGGCACTGTGCTGACAGCAGAGAGCCTGATTTGGGGCTCAAAGTCATGAACTGAGATCATGACCTCACAGCCAAAGGCAGATACTAAACCAACTGAGTCAGGTGCCCCAGCCAGAGCTTTTTAATGTGCAGATATTTCTAGCTTCTATGTATAGTTTATACTAGGCGCTTCATGTCTAAGAGTTTGGTGTATAAAAGAGGATGTCCAGAAGCACTAGAGGAGGGATATGGAAGGCATGAGGAACACGTAGAAATGTTAGTCAACCCCATGTATTTATCTACCATCATACTTAGCACTTATTTATTGATGCATTTTGGATGCACTCTTGAGCTGTAATGGTGAATGAGCATAGGAACACATGCAAGCCAATAAAGGAGTTAACCTGTTTAAGACACTCGTCCCTTGCCCCTACTCTACGATGCCTCTAGAAGGTTTTATATTTTTAATTAATAAAGTTTCAATGGGATAATTTAATTCTATCCAAGTGCTTCTGGGAAAGCTTTCAGAAAAAAAAATAAGATATCCAAAAAATAGAATATAATGAGACTTCCACTTCTGGCAATAGTGATTAAATAACTATCTCAGAGGACAGTTAGGCAAGCTAAAAGACTTTAAAAATATCTGCTTGAAGTATTAAAGAGCTAGCTAGACAGTAAGGAATTATCAAGCCAAAATTCAAAACCTCATAGTTGGAGCAGCTATTCTTCTGAGAGTGACTAAAGGTTGAGTATAGCAAAGTAAAGGCAAAGAAAGTAGAAGTAAACAGATAATTAAGAAAACCTAAATCAGTTAAAGAGAACAAACATGAAATAGGATGAGTAGGGCCAAATATAGTTCTTTGAAAAGATCAATAAATTTGATAAAGCCTGGTTGACACTGATGAAGGAAAGAAAGGTAAGACAAATAGCAGCTGTGTAGAAAGTTTTTATTACAAATATAATAAAAGGTTCTTACGCACTACTTTAAGTCACTATCTTTAAACATTTTAATAAAATGAAAAAGTAAAGGGCAATTTAACACAACTAACATAAGAAGAAATAAAAATAGAAACATTCATGTTAAATTGAATCTATAATTTTAAATAGAGAACAGTGCAAGAAATGTCCTAGGCTAAAATATCCATCAATAGCACAGAAGTTGAAATAGAGGTGGAAGTATTTTCGCAAGACAAGATAGTCTCTAGATTCGGAGCATGAGTAAGTTATAAATATATGGGAGATAGAACACAAATAGCACAAAACAGATTGACATTTTGATAAGTACCCTATGAACCATGACCTTTTATTCAGAAACTCCTTTTGTCCTTTGGTTTACTATAGATATGACTTAGGCTGCTTCACTAGTAGAAATAGGGTGAACTTGTGCATCTCAAGTTAGGTCTTTTTCCATGTCCTTATTCAGAGTTATTTTAGGTGTAAAACATTATAAATCTTGAGATTTGAGATTTGGAGGTGGCACAAACTGCACCATACGAGAATGGCATCTTTTAAATAGAACATTACCAAAATAAGCCAAAAAGACCAATACCTGTAGTCAGGTGAGTTGTCATTTTGATTTCTTAGCGACTCATTTGTACCACTGGCCACACTTCATAGGTGGAGATTTTCATGACTATGAGACAATGCTTTTAGGAGTTGGCAGTTTTATCCCAGGTCAGGAAAGGCAAATCAATGGCAAACATCACTACATTCCCTTCTCTTAGCCTAACTAGTTCTGTCAGACTATAGACAGCCTCAGGGTCTTTCTCATCAAGGTGATATGAGGCCTTCCCTACAAATCCATTAGAGCTATCACAAAAGTTTAAAGCCTACTCAAAAAAATATGTAATTGTGGGGGCTTCAACCAGCCAAAAGAGACTGTGTTGATTAAGAGTAGCAAGAACATATATGTTAAGGCTTTCCATGAGCAGAGGAAACAGGGCATTATGACCTAGACGATTAAGTTTTTCTTCATTGATGTAGCTCAGTGGTAATGATTTGGAGTGAAGCTTCTCAAAAACAGTATCTAAGGAATTGAAAGAATAGAATTTGACTGACAAGGTCTTCCAAAGCAGTGACTCCATGACTGGCTGATTGAGCAGCTGAACTCCATCAGATCTTTCTTTCTTCTGAGGTTCTACTGGCTTTCCCTTCAAGGTTCATGGTTAGGTGATGGTGGATTCAAGCATCACCTCTTCCTACAATAATTTTCAATGCAGATGGGAAGGGGAATTAAAGAAGGCTCTCCATTCATTTTACTTTGTATTTACCGGGGAGGAATGTTTCTAAGAGATCTTCAACAGAAGTCCTCTTAGATGTTTATTAGTTTTCTTGTGTATCGATCACATGCATTAGATTAGTTTCAAGTGTAAAACAGTGAATGAATATCTCTGTATGTTATACTCTGCTCATTATGAGTGAAGCTACCATCTGTCACCGTACAATGCTATTACAATATCATTGACTATATTTCCTATTCTGTGCCTCTTATTTCTATGACTTATTCCATAACTGGAAGCCGGTATCTCTCCCTGCCCTTCACCCATGTTTCTCATCCTCTACCCCCTTTCCTCTGGCAACCATCAGTTTGTTCTCTGTATTTACAGGTCTGATTCTGCCTTTTTTTTTTTTTTTGATTCCACATATAAGTGATAATATATGGTATTTGTCCTTCTCAGACTTACTTTATTAGCATAATGCCTTCGTGTTGTCACAAATGGCAAGAATTCTTTCTTTTTAGTGGCTGAATAATACTCTCTTGTGTATAAATATCACTTCTTCTTTATCCATTCATCTGTCAATGGACATTTAGGTTGTTNATATGGTATTTGTCCTTCTCAGACTTACTTTATTAGCATAATGCCTTCGTGTTGTCACAAATGGCAACGTCTCCTCCTTTCTTAGGGCTACGTGATATTTTGGGTATGTGTGTGTGTATACATCTTTATCCAGCTTTTGATAGATATTTGGGTTGCTTCCATATCTGGACTATTTGCAAATAATGCTGCAATAAACATACAGGTGCATATATCTTATCAAATTAGTATTTTCATTTTCTTTGGGTAGATGAAATTCCCAGTAGTGGTTTATTAGATCATTTGATAATTCTGTTCTTTTTCAGGAACTTCCATACTGTTTTCCACAGTGGCTGTACCAATTTACATTCCTACCTTTATCTCCACATCCTTGCCAACACTTGTTATTTCTTTTCAGGTTAGCTGTACTGACAAATGTAAGGTGAAATCTAAGTGTGGTTTTGATTTTCATTTCCCTCATGATGAGTGATGTTGAGCATCTCTTATATGCCTGTTGGTTACTGTATCTTGTCTTGGGAAAAATACCTCTTCAGGTTCTGACCATTTTTTAATTGGAAATTTTTTTGTATTGAGTTGTAAAGGTTATATATTTGCAGATATATCATTTGCAAACATATTTTCCCATTCAGTAGGTTACCTTTTTTGTTCTCCTGATGGTTTTCTTCACATTGCAGAAGGCTTTTCTGATGTAGTCCCAATAGTTTATATTTGTTGTTGTTTTTCTTGTCTTAGAAGAAATATCTAAAAAAATAATTGGTGTGTTCAATGTCAGGGAAATTACTGCCTATGGTCTTTCCTGGGATTTTATGATTTTAGGTCCCACAGTTAGGTCTTGAGTCCATTTTTATTTTATTTTGGTGTGTCATGTTATAAAGTTTCCCATTTCATTTTTACATGTAGACGTCCAGTTTTCCCAGCACCATTTATTAGACTGTATATTCTTGCCTCCTTCGTCATAGTGTGGGGTATAAGTGTGGATTTATTTCTAGCCTCTATATTCTATTTTTTTTTATCTGTGTGTCTATTTAGTGCCAGTACCATATTGTTTTGATTACTATATCTCTGTAGTATATCTTGAAATCTGGAATGATGATACCTCCAGTTTTGTTCTTCTTATGTCTGCTTTGGCTATTTTGGGTTTTTTATGATTCCATACAAATTTCATAATTATTCTAGTTCTGTGAAAATACTGTTGCTATTTTCATAGGGATTGTCTTGATTATAGATTGCTTTGGGTAGTATGGACATTTTAACAATATTCTTCCAATTCATGACCATGGGATATTTTTCCATTTGTTTAGTGTCACCTTTAATTTCTTTCATCAATGTTTTATAATTTTCAGAGTGCAGGTCTTTTGTCTCCTTGTTTAAATTTATTCCTAGGCATCTTACTATTTTTGGTGCAATTTTGAATGGAATTGTTGTCTTTCTGCTTCTTTGTTATTAACGTATAGAAATGCTACTGATTTCTGGGTATTAATTTTTATGGTGCAACTTTACTGAATTCATTTATTTGTTGTAATAGTTATCTGCAAATGGTACCATTTAACTTCTTTCTTAATAATATGGATGCTGCTTATTCTTGTTCGATTGTTGTGTCTAAGATTGCCAGTACTATGTTGAATAAAAGGGGTGAGAGCAGACATTCTTGTGTTACTGCTGATCTTAGAGGGAAAGCTTAGTTTTTCACCATTGAATATGATACTGGCTGTGAGTTTTTCTATGTATGGCCTCTATTATATTTGTTGGGTATCTAAACCCATTTTGTAGAGATTTTTAGTCATAAACAGATGTTGAATTTTGTCAAATGACTTTTCTGCATCTATAAAGATGATCATATGATTTTTATCCTTCATTCTGTTGATGTGGTGCATCATGTTGGTTGATAC